GGGAAGAAGACTCCCTGGTGGAGCGTTTAACTATTATGACGGCACTGTACCATCATTTTGCAAGTCATTGAAGATGTGGGGGGGGTGGATACTGATGATATCTATGCGCCAGTGAACTACAAGGACGAGCATTGGGTTGCTATGTGGATATCGATCCCTAAGAGACACATAGTCGTCTGGGACAGCATCGTAACTTGTATCTTCGACGAGAACCTCGAACTGGTAATGGAGCATTTTCTGCACATGGTTCCTTATCTGCTTGTTGAGTGCTCTAGCGCTGATGCATCCCGTGGCCAATACTCTCTGGAGCCATTCACATTTGAACGTGCAAGCAATGTGCCTCAGGCCCGAGGTGGTGATTGTGGCGTCTACGCTCTAAAATACATTGAATGTCATGCTCTTGGGCTGTCATTTAATCCAAAAGATTTTGCTAAGAACGACGCGCACGTGAAGAATATTAGGGATAAGATGGCTGTGGATATANGTGGCGTCTACGCTCTAAAATACATTGAATGTCATGCTCTTGGGCTGTCATTTAATCCAAAAGATTTTGCTAAGAACGACGCGCACGTGAAGAATATTAGGGATAAGATGGCTGTGGATATATATAATGAGCTCACTCTCCCGCATTTGTATGAAAACAAGGATAATTTTGACGAGATCGGTACTTATGAAGGCTGATGCTTGTATTGTATGTTTGTATTCGAACTTGATTAGGCTGATGTTTAGGATGCTTGTTGTATGTTGCGTTGTTGTACATTAAACTTTCAATTAATTCTTCAAATTAAGTCGTCTTATAATCTTTTGGTTGTGCAATTTGACAAAACACTAGAAGACTTAAATTTAAGTCGTCCAGAGGACTAGGTAACCATGGACGACTTAACAAAACTTGACGACTTAATTATAGGTTGTCTGAACGACTAAACAACACTAGAAGACTTAAATATAAGTCGTCCAGAGGACTAGGTAACCATGGACGACTAATCAACACTAGACGACTTAACTTTAAGTCGTCCAGAGGACTAGGTAACCATGGACGACTTAACAACACTAGACGACTTAATTTTAGGTCGTCTGAACGACTAAACAACTCTAGACGACTTAATTAAAGGTCGTCTGGACGACTAATCAACACTAGTTGACTTAATTATAGGTCGTCTGAACGGCTAATCAACCGGATTCTTACATTGTAGTTTCGTATGGCCAGCTTCCTTGCAGTTTGAGCATCTATAAACCCTGTGTTGCTTCCGGGGTTTGCGTCCTTTCATCCTAGATAGCTCCAACCAAGATTTCCATCTTGATTTCTTCTGTCTCCCCGGACCACGCTTTACCTCTGGAGGGAAGCATGTGCGTTCTTCAACTTGTTGTCCAGCACAAGGAAATATATTCTCTGAGTATCCTCCAAACAAATACTCCTTTGAGTACACTGGATGTACAAGTGTGGATATATGCAAACCAGCAAATGTACCAGCAGCTATAGCATGAGAACAA